TCTATAAGTGCAGATTGATCTACATCACTTGAGTTCTAAAATCTACATCGCCTTAGTTTAGGAGCCATACTTATTCAATAATAAGGTCTCCGGTTTTTTGTAGTAGAAGTTTTATTAGGAATGAAAAACTTGAGTATGTACAACATGAATTGTAATATAATAGTAAATCAAAGACTACTATAGATAAAACAGAAACTTGGTTATATAAAGTAGTATAACATTTCTTAACACATCAACACTTTCCCTTGTTAAGAGATGTTAGACTGTTTGTTGTAATCCAATATGATCGCAAAGAAGTTTAAGTCTTGTGGGTTGCAAAGGTTTTGTCATCAAATCAGCTAATTGATCTTGCGTAGGTATTTGTATTACTTGAAGCTCATTTTCAGAAATTTTTTCTCTAATAAAGAAATGCTTATTGTTGATATGCTTTGTGCGTTTGTGATATTCAGGATTTTGTGCCAAACGTACTGCAGCAGAATTATCAACATATAACAATGGAGTGGAATTTAATTCTATCAATTCAGAATATAAACGTTTTAGCCAAATTACTTCTTTTGTTGCTTCAGAAGCTGCAACAATTTCTGCTTCTGTTGTAGATGTTGCTACCATAGCTTGTCTCTGGCTTAACCATGATACAACCCCTCCCGCAAATTTTACAACAACACCAGATGTAGATCTTCCGGTTTTCAAACATCCTCCAAAATCTGCATCACTGTAGCATTCTAGCTCTTGAGCATGTTCGTTGTTGTAAAATATTCCATAATTAATTGTTCCAGATATGTAACGAAAAACTCTTTTAACTCGGGTAATATCTTCGTTGGATGGATTTTCTAATGTTCTTGAAAGGAATCCAATGCTATAAGCTAAGTCAGGCCTTGTTCCCAACATAAGATACATAATGGCTCCTACGGCTTGTCTGTATGGAAATTGAGAACACTTCACATTGTCTTTCCCCGATTCGAAATTTTCTCCTTTCAGCATAGGCGATGAAACTGGCCTGCAATCAGTAAACCTAAATCTTCCCAGAATTCTTTTTGCGTATGCTTCCTGACTGATTGATATTCCACTTTCATTTGCCTTTATTTCCAGACCCAAAAAATAACTTGCATCTTTTGTGGTTATTTTGAATTCTCTTCTCAACTCTTCCAAAAATGTTTCCAGCTCGCCGGGGTCTGTGGCAGCTACTAGACCATCATCTACATAAAGAGCTAGTATTAATTTATTCCCTTCTTGATTTCGTATGTATATACAGGGATCGGCGTCACTTGCTATAAAACCGATTTTTAATAAATATTTTCCAAATCTTCGGTTCCAACACCGCGGAGCTTGCTTTAATCCATATAGACTCTTTTTAAGCTTACAAACTCTTCCTGTGCCGTCATCAAAACCATCTGGTTGTTTCATAAAAATAGTTTCTTCAAGGTGGCCATAAAGAAAAGCAGTGGATACATCAAATTGAGATAGATGCATCTTTTCACTTGCAGCTATACTTATTATAGCTCGTATCGCTGCCAACCTTGCAACTGGACTGAAGGTTTCATTGTAGTCTACACCTTTGCATTGTTTGTATCCTTTTATAACTAATCTTGCTTTGTATTTGTCTGTACTTCCATCAGGGTTAGTTTTTATCTTATAAACCCACTTTGATGGGAGTACCTTATTTCCTTTTGGAAGTTGAATCAAATCCCACGTGTTGTTTTCTCTGAGGGAATTCATTTCTGACTTCATTGCCTTTATCCAATGATATTTTTCTGTACTTTCGACAGCATCAATAAAACTGGTAGGTGTTTGTACTTCACACATAAAATCTTGAGCAGCCATAACATAGTCATCATACTTCGAGTTATGTAGCGTTGATCGATCTCTTAAACGATTTCTAATTGTATTTTCTATCGTATCAAATCCACGGAAATCACTCTCATTGGATACATTTTCTTCCGAACATTCTTCAAACATCTCATCTTCCCAATCTGAATCACAACGAATCTCTTGAATATATCTTGGTGTACTGGGCTGAATATGATCTTCTTCTAACACTTCTTCTTTAGATCTCTCATATGATTTAAATGGCAATTTTATTTCTTCAGCTCTCTTATTTGAAAACTCTTCATTCATCTCTTGCTTTTGATCGTCACATTTTGAAATTTGTTCATTAAATGTCACATCTCTTGACAAAATTACACTCTGATTTTCTTTGATGTAAATTCTATAACGCTCTTCAGTATCATATCCAATTAAATGTCCCTTGATTGCCTTTGAATCCATCTTTTTCCTCTTCTGACTTGGAACATGGACATAGCATTCACTTCCAACTATTCTCAAATGAGTAATTCTGGGTTTTCTTCCAAACCAAAGTTCATGTGGACTTTTGTCATCAACTGGTGTCTTGCGAGTACGATTTAAAATATATATGGCGGTACGAACTAACTCAGCCCAAATAGCTTCAGGAAATTGGACATTCTTATTCGAGTACTTAAAAGTACGGGCCATCTCAATTACAGTTCTATTTTCCCTCTCGCTTGCACCATTCTGTTGCGGAGTGTAGGGAGCAGTTAGTCTCTGTGTAACTCCATATTTCTTTAGAATTTGCTTTACTTCATTATTATCGAATTCGCCACCATTATCGCTCAAAAATTCTTTTATTGGATTTCCTTGATTTTCTGAAAAAACTAGAACTTCCTTCAATACAGTTTTAACTTCGGATTTTTCCTTCAAGAAATATCCAAAACAATATTTACTGTATGCATCTTTAAATATGACCAAATACTTCCTTTTGCTGAAAGACATATGGAATGGGCCACATACGTCAGCTGACATTAATTCGCCTGGTCTTTTAGAAACCTCTCTAGTACCAAAAGGTAATCGATGTGACTTTCCATAAATACAGGATTCACAAATTTGCATATCAAGTTTTACATTAATACCAAATTCCTCCCTTAGTTTCTTCTGTACATGGCGTTTATTCTGGTGTCCCCAACGTTCATGATATAGTTGCAATGTGTTATCAGATTCCGTTAAATTTACTTCATTTGTTGAATTTGAGATGACTGTTTCAATATCCGCTAGATACAATGTGCCTCCTTTTTCCCGATGACCAACTAATATCACCTTATTATTGACCCAAAGTTCACACTCAGTTGCTGTTGACTTAAATTCACTGTTTGAACACTTGTCTTGTGCAGATAAAACAGAAAATAAGTTCCTTGACACTCTTGGAACGTACCAAACATCTGTTAGTGTGATTTGGATTACCTTGTTGTTGACATAAGACTTGATATCAACTGTACCTTTCCCAATTACATCTAACATTTCACCACCGGCCGCTTTAATCTTGCAACATTCCTTGAACTTCTCGAAAGATTTAAATACATTTCTATTATTTGCCACGTGTCGTGTAGCGCCATTATCAATCCACCAATTCTTTGAAATATCCTCCTTAATTGTGTTAATCTCTTCATACATTAAAGGTAAAATCTGGTGTTGAGGAGTTATTGCTTCAGCCTTCTTTTCTTTTATAGGCTTACCATCACTTATCCATTTTCTGCAATCTCGTATCCAATGACCTTTCTTATGACAATAATTGCATGCACCATTTTTCTTGCTTGTTTTTGTATTATTGGTTTGTGGGAATTTTTTCTTGACATTATTAAGCATTAAAGCTTCTTCGTCCTTAACATCAACACCTTTGCAATTTCTTTGATACATACAGAGTTGTGCGGTCATTTCCTCAAAATTCTTCTCTTCGTTTTTTGTTAAAAGCATCCAACTTGACTTAAAAGTATCAAAATGACTTGGTAAAATTTGAAGGATTTTGCAAACTAATAAAACTTCTGGGAGCTCATTTTCCTTACGTCCTTTCAATCCGTTATTGAGTTCTATCCACAAACTTTTGAGTTTTGCAATATGTAAGCTCACGTCTTCACTTAAATTCCATGTAAATGAGAAGAAGTCAATACATATTTTGAATAATTGATCCTTCGATCTAGCCTCAAATTGAACCATTAGCGATTCCCAAGCCTCAGCAGCAGTTTCTTTATCCATTATCTTTTGATACACATTGTCACTTACTGCGCTTGCTATCATGGATTTTGCATAACTGTTTGCTTTTCTATACAAGTCCGACTTTTCCTTGTACAGCTTCTTTTGTTCACTCGTGGCATCAGAGGATGGTGGATTTGGATTCTTTAGTTTACCTTCAATAACGTCAATTGCTCCTTCGTGATAGTCTAATAAATCACGCATCTTCCGTTTCCATATTGGATAGTCCGTTTCGTTTTCCAAAGGCTTGATGTGCTTAGCAAAATCCATTTCTTAAAAAAAAAATTTTCATAAATTTTTGAAGTTCTATATTTTTATAATTTTTATTTTTCTCAGAGACTCCTGGGCTCATAACCTTTTGTAGTAGAAGTTTTATTAGGAATGAAAAACTTGAGTATGTACAACATGAATTGTAATATAATAGTAAATCAAAGACTACTATAGATAAAACAGAAACTTGGTTATATAAAGTAGTATAACATTTCTTAACACATCAACACGGTTAACTCGCAATAACTATACGGCTTTTGTTCCCACAGACGGCGACAAAGTGAGGACCTGAGCAGTTACGTTGACACTTAAATCGAATACTGTTGAAACTTAAATTGAATACTCTTGAAACTTAAATCGAATACTTCTCTCCAATTTTAGTAAAGTGGACAACTCCACCGTAAGATTGGATAAAAGTTAATAAAGGCCAAACATAGGTCTTTGGTCAGTTTCGCGTTGGCAGGATCTTCGATATAGAGGAATCTAATCGAAATGCATAGTATTTAATACGACACATAAGCTTGAGTAAAATAGTTGTTGTACTAAATCAGCCATCCTATTTCATTTCAATGTTCACACTCAATTTTTTATTATATTCCTTAAATCATTGAAGTTCTGCGTTGCGTTACGAAATATTGTGAAACTAAGGTGAGTTATAAAGGAACTTGAATTATATTGAAGTAAAAACAATCTTTGTTTCAGAATTTTAAAGAAGCATATACGACAGAAGAGTCGCAACAGGATCTGGTCTCAGAACTTGGTTGTTATTTTATTTATTCAAGGGCGTGTAAAGGCGAGTTAATGAAAAAATCAGCTTTAATAATATATGTACATAATATACTTATTAACAATTAATGAGGAATGTTGTTCTTTGATTTGCCAATTAAAAATAAATAATATCTCACTCGCGTAATAATATCTGTGAAAGGTTTAGAATGAAAACAATGTACAATACTCATTTTAAAGAGATTCCAGTTATTGTCAAAAAGTAACGATTACATCAAAATCCCATTAAAACGTTACATTCCACAAAGGTCAACCTCGTGTTATCTTAATGCAACGTATTATTCTAATGACACCAGCTGGCATCGTAAAGGCACTTGTAGAAGAACCATCGTGTCATCCAAGCATTGAGTTTTGTCATATTTTGTATTTCTGCGTTGATATTTACTGTATCAGCTCTAATCTGCAATTAAAATGATGTATATTTAATAATCAATTTATGACAAGCTGTAGAAAGTATACTTACAAATGACGGGGGGAACAGACGTCTCATGTTACCCCTATGAAGGTGTTCCATGTGTGCTCTATATAACATATCATACTCACTTCCTGTAAGGCAAGGCAAACACAGATCACATCCTTGTTTGTTGCAAGACCTGTGGCAGGCTAGTGATGCACATTTATTGAGGTTCGTCGACAGGCTCTGATCTGTTGCTATCATTTCATTAACAGCATTTAATCTAAAGAAGAGAATTCCAAGTTCATGTAATCATTACATTTATGGATAAGAAATCTGGATATAAATTGATCTATATTAAATTGTATATCATCCTTGTCTCCCACTCAATCATTTTGATCATGATTTTCCATTTTTAATTTTCCAAAACGAAAGTTGATTTGAAAGGAACAAAGACTGATATTACCAATTTGTGAGAAAATATGTAATTTATATGGGAATATTCAAATATGTGTTACAATCGAAACTGAGTTCCTAGTGAATTTTTTTGGAATGAAGAATTTTTGTCGAAGCTGTATTAAATTATTTTAATATAAGAAAGCCTATGCAGGATAAGACAACAATAATGGGATTAGGCCTGACTATTTTGCAACAACAAAATACTATGGTATCCCGAACAAACATGTCAACACTGTTCTATTAATAGACAAGCCACGGTCGCCGAAGGGATCTTTGTGGTAACAGACAAAACTAACTTACATGGTTATGCTATTTTGTTCATGTAAACCAATAGCGCAACAAGTGGAGAGAGATGAAAATGTTTATAAGTGCGGTTGTAAGATTTAGAAGATTTAAAAAAAACAATTTTAGTTCAAAGTAATTCTTTGGTTCCGCTTACGATCACGTCACTTGGATAAAAAAGTTTTTTTGTCACAGGAGTTTTTTGTAAAATAACTTCTGGGGAGAAAATCCCAGACAAAAACAAGGGAACTGATTAGGTATGGTGGCTCTTTCCGAAACTTAAGTATTCCCTGCCTAACTTCTGGCAAACATTACCATCTTTTTCCATTAATGAACAAACGGTGTTTTTATAAAAGCAACAATAATGGGATTAAATACTATGGTATCCCGAACAAACAGGCCAATACTGTTCCATAAATGAACGATATTTTTTTTTTCGTCAGGAAAGACGTGGGCAGACTTTCAAAACGTCAATTTTTTTTTTTTTTTTTGATATGAAGATGCATACTGTATATTTATCTTAAATAAATATATAGATGAAATATGAAATATCGATGTTGGCTGCAACGTTCAAAATTAACATTAAATCTTATTTCTCTTTTACCGTTATTTGGTTAATATCATTAAAAATGATATTCGTTTGCAACTTTAAAATCAGTTATTTTTTGAATGTATGTATAAAACTAATTCGAAACATTCTGACGCATATTTATTGCCCACTTACCTGCAATCATCCGGCATTTTAATTGGTGTTCCAATACCAACCAAATTCAAAACGTTGTACAGTATTTGTTCATAAAGAACTGAATTTGGCTTGAAGTGCGCTGATGAAAGATTTGGAGACATGTTTGCTTCCATCAAATAGACTTTCAAATTTTTATCAACAATAAGATCAAAACGCATCAAATCGAAAAAATTGCGCGTTTTATACGACCGAAGAATATTCACAATGTCTCGTTCTTTTTCTAAAATTGTACGGCGTATTATATCTTCGACTTGCACCCAAATCCCTGTTGGATCCATCTGCTGATCCCTCACATAAGCATCGAATGCACTTCTCATGCTGCCGCCGAATTGCGAATAATATTTGATCAAAGAAGGCACTTGCCATGTTGGCAAATAATCGTCACCAACAATGTATTTATCAATATTGGAAGCATCAAATGGATGATATTTAACTGGACAATATCGAAATAAAACGTCCCCACTGTACATGTAGATCCTCAATGGATTGACGGATGTGATAACGACATAGACGCCCATATCGAATTTATACCCATCAACTAAATATGGGTTTTGGATATACTCCTGGACAAAGGATGTAGTGGAGTTTAGATTGATTTCCTCTGGCGAACGTATAACAATGTGACGATGTTCATTATGTTTTTCAACAAAAAGAGCTGATGGGTTTAGTCGGGTATATTCCAGAAATTCATCTTTTTGTGATGGGAGACGAAAGGCACGCGGAAGAAATAGCAGTGCAGACGTCGATAAGTCTACCTTATTTGTTAGAAATCCACATCCCGGGAAATGATTCACAATTTGATAGTTTTCTAAACGTTTCATACGTTCCTTCATCTTTAAAAATGGATAGTCATGTGCCCATAACAGTTGCCAGTTTTTCTCCAAACTAACACGAGTGTAACCCAATTTCTCCAAAACATTAACAACGTGTATCAAGTGATCCTCACTCTTGCTTCTGGCATATATGGCGTACGTTTTCTCCTCTGTGCAATATTGGGGCGCGCTCGTCTTTGTGGTATCCCATTTCCAGGGATTTTGTTGTATTGGCAGAAAGTCTATGATAACTGAAGAAAGTATAGAAGCTGCGAAAAATACGATTAGCGCTTTCAAAGATATTGTAGTTGAATCAAGTCTACGTGTGCTTTCCTAAAATGAAGTAAATTAAAGTGAAAGTTTTTCACTGAATAATCAAATATATTTATATTACCATTGAATCTTTTTCTCCTTTCCGTAATTCATTTTCCATATCAAACAAATCTTGTTACACTTGGCCCTTTCTTAGTATTTAATTGTTGTGTTAAAAAAGTAAATAATTTATTTTGAATTGACCAAAGAAAAAATCAAAAACCAAAACAAACTAAAAACAAATAATAAAGAAATGAACGTTAGGAATTCAGTGTTCGATTTTCGACCTCTTTACATGTACGTTGTTACACAACAGGGTTTACATTTCAAATAAATCGAACGAAAAATTGGAAGATCGTACAATCAATGTCCTAGTGTTAAAACAGAAATAATATTTTGGCCGTTGTTACATTGTTTTGTGTTGACTCCGAATTTTCAAATATGCAGTAAAATATATAATGGTACGCCTTTGGTGTAATTTTAGTTCGGTTGTAGTTAGTTTTTAGGAACTAGGACTAACACAAGACATAAGGCATAGAGAAATGAAAATATAGACAACGAAATGCTCTCACCATTTATATTCGAAAAAAATTGAATCAGCAGATGTCGTCTATATCGTTTCAGGAGTTTGAGTGAGAATATTGAAATAACTCAATTCTAAAGTCGTAATCGAAAAATTCCGGAAAAATAAAGTGAAATTCTTGAAAAACGATAAAATGTGATTGCGTTGGGAACGATCGAAGCGAATTCGAGTAGGTTGAACGCGTAAATCGGCATGTTGACTATGCAAAACATGATGAGAGCCACCTGGATAAAAAGACAAAACTAACCTTTCGTTGTATATATCTTCATCTTCATTTGTCTATGTATGTATAAGGCCACAAAGAGAGAGAGAGAGAGAGAGAGAGAGAGAGGTAAAGCCGTTTCAATTTGCTGTTGTTACATCTATAAAGTTTATTATTACAAAGGTGAAGAGTGTTATCGACATACTGTTTTTCTAACTTATGTCATTTAAAAGGCAAAAAAAAAAAACAAAATCAAAAGTTGATTCTTTTTTAGGCTTAAAAGACACCACGGTATAATAATTAAAAGGCAAGTGCAAGTGTGAATGTAATAGCAATATAAGCGCCAATTTTATTTTCAACATACATGAAATTTTAATAAAATTACAGACGATGAAAACTGAGTCTACAGAACGAAATCATGATCAGGAATTATTATTAAAAGTAGTTGATTTGTTAATTCAAATTAGAAAGACACAACTCCGAAGCCAGAGTGTTGCATGGCTCAATAAAAAAAGGTTACTCAACTTCGAGGAAACTAGGAAAATTAAACTCTGTACTGGGTTTAGTTGGGTATATTCCAAAAATTCCTTTTTTGTGAAAGACACAACTCCGAAGCCAGGTGTTGCATGGTTCAATAAGAAAGGTTGCTCAACTTCAAGGAAACTAGGAAAATGTAACTCTGTACCGGAGTCTTATTGTGTCAAATTAACTTTTTAAACAAGCAACAATTGGTTTTGTTTATTTAACATTTCTTCAAAAAATTATTATATTGGGGAAAACCTACAAAACTTGAATGACATTTTGGAGTTTCTCTACAAAATTTAATCCAAGACAGGACAATATTATTTTATCTCAAAATTATACATTTTATTTGTCCGTTAAGTGAAAAATATGCATTTCTATTGTCTCTAAATTTAAAATAATTTCAAATAATTATCTCTTTTATTCAAAACAATACACACATATATACAAACTGTGTATATGTTTTAACAGAATAGGAGCATCAAAAGAAAACAAGTAAAAAGCTGTAAGTTTGTAAGCCGGGCCGAACTTGAAATACCCTCCACCATTTGGAACGACTTTGGCAATTCTCAAAAACAATAAAATCCATTAAAAAGTCTGTTAAAATCTTAAAAATACCGAATGAAGCTTTTACATTAGGGTCTATACGACGACATGGACCTGCAAAGGTAACTCTTGTCATAAGCCATTACAATATTCAAATGCGAAACTTAAAAAAATCGGTGTTTATAGCTACATTATCATCATCAAAATACCGAAAATCAGGAGGAACCGCTATATGGTAGCTATACCAAAACGAGGACCTACATGTCCTATTTTCAATACCAAAAGTCCTGCAAACATAATATACATTTGAGTAAAATTTGATCAATCTACTTCAATTCATTCGAAAGCTAGAGTGATTTCCACTGACGGATAGACGGACGGACATAGCTAAATCGACATAGAATCTTATGCTGATCAAGAATATATGTACTTTGTGGGGTCTAAAATGTATATATTCGAGGTGTTACAAATGGAATGACAAACTTAATATTTCCTCCATGCTATGGTGGAGGGTATAAAATGTATTTGGGAGGTAGCTTTGTTCTACCTTCTGTAATTATGCCATGCATACAGCCACAACAAAACTGTGCATATATTTTGACACTGCAAGACTATGATAAGCAGAAATTGTATTCAGGTGACTTGTATGGTGTACCTTATAAATTAACGTGGCACGAATGACATGTATTCCTAAATATCAACATATATATATTTTTTATGGTCTTAAGGTGTGCTTGGCATCATGACTAGGCATATTAATTTCAAATTATAAGAAACAGTACCGCAGGGTTCGAGTGCGGCTTTGGCATCCCTTTACCATATGTCACAATACACAAGAGCCCCAACTTGCGTCGTCCCGATTTTCGTCGTTTCGAGTTGCGTCGCTTTTCAAAAACCAGAAAATTCGATTTGCGTCGTTGCAATTTCAAGTTGCGTCGGTCCGAGCTACATTGTGCATTACTATTTTTTTGCATTTGCAGAGCCTAAATTGGCATATATTCTGTTGTTTAGCATTTTTACAACTTCTGGCAACACTGATCGTCACCTGTTCGTTAACAAATTTTCAAATTGCGTAAAATAAGGAAATTTTCCTTTTCTTTATGGTGCTATATGTACATACATATGTTAATGAATTTAATTTTTGTTATATTTTTCTTAATTTATTGTTTTGTAATTTCTTTATAATAATTATAAACATTTTTTTGAAATAAATGGAATAAATAAAAATGTATTCATACTTGTTTTTTTATCAAAAATATAATTTTTTTCTTTGTTTTGAATATTTTCCCTAGTATACTAAATTTCAGTGCATTTTGTATATGTATGTATATATAAAGGTTATTCGATTTGAGTCGTTTTGAGTTGCGTCCGGTCCCCATTAACGACGCAAGTCGGGGCTCTAGTGTATATGTCATGCGAAGACTTCGAGCTGCCTACATACCTACACCTTTAGTTATTGCAAGTAAAGGCTGTTGGATGAAAACATTTGATAGAAGTGCATTTTTAAGCTTTCTTTGTCTTTGATTCATATTTGATTTTTTCAGGTGACGTTTGTATTGCTTTCTACCAACAAATGCTCACATAGTATTTTCAAATCATGAAAGGCCCCCTGGGAAGTTCGTTTGAAGATTTTACATGATTTTAGAGTAATTTGTAAAGTAACTTTTTCATAGCATACTTCTAGGTGATCACCAGAATTTTTAGTCCAAAATGGAAACCTTTATGGTACATTAAAATTTAAAAAAATGTATTAAACATATAGAATACATAAACTACAAGCGAATTTATGATAATGTATTGTGTGTAGATGATGTAATATGGAGTTACTTTTTAGTTTGTTGCGTGTTCTTTAAAGTATGCTATAAAAATGAAAAATATGAAAACGTCACATTTCATATGACTTTAATATAGTTGGTCTATTCCAGACCTGCAAGAATATGTTCGTACTGAATTAATTTTTACAGATACATTCAATCATGGTACAATAATTTAAAATCAAGAAGGTAAAGTCATTTCAAATACACTAGAGCCCCGACTTGCGTCGTTAATGGGGACCGGAGAATCGCGACAGAACTCAAAACGACGCAAATCGAATCACCAAAATGCACTGAAATTTAATTTACTGGGGAAAATGGGCTCTAGTGTCATTTACTTTGTCAAATTTCACTGCATAGAAGGTAGGTTCCCATCTCGGATTTGTGTATGTACAATACATTTATAAATAAATATTTTGACATGAGATTTCGTCAAGTTAATAATTTTCAAAAAATTGTAAACATATGTTCAGCCGATACCAAATAGTACCAAAAAAGTACTATTTAGCACTTTTCGTTCACTAGTAGTGTGCATTTCCAAAAGACCTATTTATCTCAAATTTACTACCACCAAAAAAATTTATTCCGTTCACTCTAAACCAGACTGTTCCAAATTTAATACCATTTAGTACAGTTCGCACACTCAGTGCACACTTCAAAAAACTGACTTTATATATCAAACTTACTTCTCATGCTAATTTTCAATTTGTTAAGGGCTAAGTACATAAGAAGCTTGAAGTCATGGCACGGCCTATTTTGTGACATTTCACAAAGGAATTACAGAGCCGCACTAAAATCCTGCCGTCGTTTTTCCTTATAATTTGACATTAATATGCCTAGCCATGACTTCAAGCTTTTTATGTATTTGCAGCCTTAGCTCTATTTGTTCACATAATTCCTAATGGTACAATTTTACAAGTTTAGTATCATTTTTGTACTTTTTGTAACCTTAAAAACACTTTGGTACATCTTTCCTCCATCAGTGACTCTAGTTTCTAATTTTTTAATTCCGGCTCATTCGGTTTGTCCAATTTTCAGTACCTTTCGTATCCTTTAAGTAAGAATTTCCAAAAACCCAGACTTATCACACTCCTACGCGCCAAGACTGACCCTCGTGCAAAATTTCAAGATTGTAACTTCAGCCGTATCCTATGGGCGTTAATTTTAGTCTCTTATATCTTTTATATATAGATAGACTGGGTAAATTATCTTTAGGAAAACAGATTTTCACGTATACCTTATTAAATATACTTTGTTTCGTAAAATGTCAACTTATAAATAATTTCCTAATTCTCATATACATTTTTCATTTAATTTACAATGCAATTATCGAACAGAAATCGATATGCTGAGGAACTGAAAAGACGAGCAATTGCTCGACAGCGGTTTCGAAAAATTGTGCACTGCGTAATTTTGAATCGTTCTTGGTTAACTGATGTCGGAGAGGAAAAGCTATCGCTCAACGTTAAGAAAAATATAGCATTGTTGATACGTCCGAAGCAAAAAATTGGTCTTCTGAATTTAGAGGTAAGGAGAAATAACTTAATCAAAAATTGGATGTACAATCTACAATGTATGTACTCTCCAATATGATTTTTGGGCGAAAATATAAGTGAAACTGGGCGAGATATAAGTGTAGATAGCCATGTTGCCGTTTTAAACACGGGGTGAGATAAAAAAACGGCAACAAAGTCAAACGCCATAATGTTTGCATTTTTTGTAAATTTTATTGAATGGAAGCAAAATATGTCGGAAATAGCATCAAATATTAAAATAAGTTTAGATTTGTTCGAATTAGTCACCTTTGGCACGAATCATGGGCTTCAAACGGCCAATGAAACCGTCACACGCTGCCCAAATGTTACTCTGCAGTATTTTGGCCCATTCCCGGCGAAGTGCTAGCTTGAGGTGGTCGACGCTTTGGTATTTTTTAGTGCCCATCTTGCTTTCCAAAATACTCCAGACACGACAGTCCAACGGATTGGTGGCCATTGTGCGCTTGAAATGAAGCGAGAAACCTCATTTTCATCCTGCTGATGTTGCTGTTTTCTTCCGTCCACTTCCTTGACATCGGGCTACGCTACCAGTATCACGGTAACGAGCGATGGTACGAGACATATTCGAATGCTGGAGTGCTCTAACGATAGCCACTTGTGGTTTTCCACAATGGGCGTAGACGAAGGCGTGGATCTGTAAATGTAAAATTTTAAAGTGGAGATAGTATCCATTACGAACTCCAAATTTGATACAATTTCGGTGAAAAATGCGAAACAAATCATCAAAATACCGAATATTGGGGATACAGTTATATGGGGGCTGAAATGTAGACCAATATAGGGCATTTTCAATACAATTCTGCGGACCTCCATCTGAACCAAAGCATGCCCGTCTGTCTGTTAAAATTAGTATACTGCCCACATTATGATACCCAAAAGATAACATTTGTAGGAAATTGTCTTTATAGCACTTTGAGAATGTTAATAGCATCCTCCAGACGAACTCTCTGGTACGTGCAGTTTAAAGTGGAACACGTTCGAATATTGGATATAAGTAGCTAGCTGAACCCGGTGCGCTTCGCTACCCCATTTGATTTTATATGCATCCAAAATTTTATATACGAATATTTGGTTGTTAAAAAAAATAAACAAAATTTAAAATTTAATGCTTTAAACCGTAAACAAACAAACCGCTCGGTCTACCAACGAGTGAACATGCCAGGAACAGCTGACCATGAGAAAAGCAGGAACATGCCAAATTTAGTCCGCATACACGAAGGGTTTGTCCTTCGGATTTATTAATTTTATAGCAAATTGCAAGAATGCAGGAAACTGCAATCTTTTGAGGTTGAGTTTGCATTTCTGTTGCAATTGGTCACACCTTCCATCGGTCACACCTTCCATATTTGGTGTTTCGTGTTTGGTGAATAAAATATGTGAAATCGGTTGGGCGCTACATCCAAACCTATTTCTGATTAATTTGTCAAATTAATTATCGTAACCAAATTCAGCCACACATTCTGAATTTCATTGGAATCGGACATACATATCGTGTTTGGTGCATAACATAAATGAAATCTAACGCATACGTAAAATAATTGCAATTCAGGATCTTTGATGTTCTAAAAAATATTTTTTAAATCAAGTTATATAAATAGGGTATAGGGATTAGTGATATGGTTGAATTGTTGTGGGGTTAACAAAAGCAACCCATTCTACAATTTTCTTTCCCTTATTGGGTTTTAGACTTAATTTTGGTTATTCAATTACGAAATGAATTATATTAATAATTATATATTCTTACAGGAGAAATCATTAATACGAACAGATGGAAAATTGCGCACCACTGCAGAAAGGAAACGCTTGGTGTCATTGATGACTGGTTTAAAATGCTTTTCAAAATTGCCTCCGGTATGTCCATTGTATGCATTAAAATTATTACTTTATGTAGTTCAAATGAGAATACAAATGACCAGTTTTTGTAAATGAAAAAGTTTGGATATGTCACTCATGTTTAAAGACATATAAATGTAAAGACTAGACAAAAAACATTTTTAAAACATTGTTTATAAACAGCATACAGGGTGAGATTAAAAAAAAACTGAAGCCAACTTCAGACTGCTGTCATTTCTGAGCCACTCGTCCGACGGCTGTTTAAATTGATACAGTGACAGCTCATTACATTGTTTAAAAGCGTATAAAAGCATTTTGGTGAGAATTTTCAAGAAAAAATAGTTATTCGTTATGAAATTGAATCGTGATAGTGTGATTTCTTTATATTTGGCTGGAAAACCACAAGTGGCTATCGATAGAGCACTCCAGCATTTAAATGTGAATAAGACTTTTTTGTCTCGTAGCCCGACGTCAAGGAAGTGGACGGAACAAAACAGCAACATCAGCAGAAATGGTTCAAAGGGTAAAGAAGCGACTTGATCGAGACCCGCGTCGCAGTGGTCGAAAAATGGCTCGTTAGTTAAACATATCGCAATATTCCATTTGGGAAATATTGAAAAATGAGATCGGGCAAAGCCATTGAAATTCCAAAAAGTGCAAGAACTTCCACCGTAACAGAAAGAAAATAGACTCAAAAGAGCTAAAGAGTTCCTTCACTTGGTTTTAAAGTGGTGAACTGAACTCCAATCGATGTCCAGCAGTTTGTAAACAAACAAACTTGCCACAAAGGTCAGCTGAAAATGTGAACCATCGGTTGGCCACCAAAAAAAAAAAAAAAAAAAAAAAAAAAAAAACCGTCGCTCTCCGCTCTTAATAGTCGACAGCGGCATCAGAATAAATGCCGAATATTATTGTCAAATATTCTGGAGGGTGTATTAAAGCCTTGGGAACGCAAACACTTTGGCCCCAGACCTTGGACATTCCAAAAGGCCTCAACACGCGCCACCCAAAAATGGTTACAAAATGAGGTTCATCGCTTCATATCCAGTGCACAGTGGCCACCAAAATCTTCCAATACCACTCAGTTGGACTATTATGTCTGGAGTATTTTGGAAAGCAAGGTTGGCACTAAAAATACCAAAGTGTCGATCACCTCGAACAAGCGCTTCGCCGGGAATGGGTCAGAATACCGCAGAGCAACATTTGGCAGCGTGTGACGGTTTCATTGGCCGTCTGAAGGCCTTGATTCGTACCAAAGGTGACCGATTTGCACAAATCTAAACTTTTTCTATAATTTTTTGCTATTTCCGAAATTTTTTGCTTTCATTCAATAAAATTAAAAAAAAAAAATGTAAAAATTATGCCGTTTGAATTTGTTGAAGTTTTTTATCTCACCCTGTATGTAGAGATGCTCATGTCAGAGATAGGTTAATACAAACAAATGTTATTCCCTTGACGTTTTTAATTAATCGGATATTGTAATTCCGGTCAAAATTGGTCAATACGTATTTACGACATAGACCATATAGACGTAGAAATACATAAAAATACCTTAACAAAAGGGGTAAATCCGCCTGTTCTGTAACATATAATAAATGCTGTTATTTATGTTATCATATATCGATTTATCGACTGCTGCCGATATAGGACACGCTGGATTTGAGACATTCCCAAATTGGTTGTCCTTACGCTCCTTCTCAATTACCATCTGACTAAGGTCACCCTTCGTTGGCTTGTCTGTAATAATAGTCTTATTCAGGCCCTCGTCTGTGAGGGCGAGGTCAGGGAGGTCAGTTAGTCTGGAACCGCTCTGTAGGATCTCATCGATAAATGCGAGAATTTCCTAACTGTGTACGCCCAGTCCGTCTAGGGATTCCCAGGCGTCATAGCGCATTTACGTTAAATTTTAATCAAAGCTCGTGTTTTTGTCAATTGCCATACAAAACAAGTCAGCAAAGGCTGTAGTCGGGTGATATCTTATAATACAAATCTTTCAAGATATGCCAACTATTAGATGCGTTAGCAACATCCAAATTAAGGGTCATTCATTTAGCTCTCAAAGAGCAGGAACTGGATCAATATTATTTTGATTAACTTCATAGAATCGATTTGAATTTTAAGTCCTTCCTAACCGTAATACGGAATCTATAATAAATATTATCGATATAAGATATCTAACATAGCTTAGAAATAACAAATGCCGTCTACATCGTTTCAGATTTCAATATAACTCCCATACATATCTTTATCCGATTTTTTGTGTGCACCAAATGAGTCAGGCGGACAACCGAAGTCAGCTTAGAAATCAGTGTGTCAAATTCATTGAAAATCAATTCAGATATATCTATATCTGTTTTATCCGATTTGATATTTGAATCCATCAAATCCGTAATATGGAATCCATAACAATGATAATTGGTACAACATATAAGATACATCTTATTTATATGTTCGAGATCGATTTACAACTAATAATTAGTTGGTATGATCTACTTCATATAAATTCCCAATATAAACGTTTATTTGTTACGGGTAGATTAACAAAACATTCATAGGGGTGTAGGGTATTATATAGTAGGTCCGCCAAACTTTTGACCTTCTTTACTGGTTATTATTGCTTTTCACGCAAATATTGTTGTTCCGGGGCCTATAGGCATAATAGGTCCAGGACCAATATGTTTGAAACTATTTTTAAAATTTTTACCAAAATAACCTCCGTTTTGTGAATTGTGCGAAAATGGTTACTTTTTGTTTAGAAAAAGTGGATTTGATAGACATCCAATGTGCGATATTCACGAATATTCAAAAAATTCTTACAAAGGTAAGGAGGTACCAAAAGTGTGGACCTATTTTTCTAGTTTTTACACCTGATCTAAGTTTGGTAGAAGCGGAGGCTCCCTCCCAGGTTACGAAGAAATTTCAACTGGCTAATTACTTTGCTGTCAAATTGCATGTACATATATGGATCTTCCTATCTCGCAGAGCTGAGTCGATCTAACTATGTATGTCCGTCCGTCTGCCCGTGTTAATTTGTAATGACATTACAGGTCGCAATTATGTCTCGATCCTCACGAAATTGAAATTGAAAATGCTCTCACTTTGACGCGGTATTAGCAGTCATGGATTAATATAAAGTGAGTACCGTACGTTTTAGGCCCGGATGGATAGCAATGTGCAGAACTTCTGCCTATCATGTGACACAGGCTTGTATGACATCCATCATAATACCGAATATTTGGGATATAAGTTTATATGAGGGCTACAGGAAAACTTAGATCATATGCGAGGAGAATCAAAGGAAAATTATTCGCAATTTTCAATAAGTTCACAATCTAGAGTTAAGGAAACTGCAGAAGTCTACCAATGTGAATGGTCATCGGATTATATTTAGCGGCTAAAATGTTAAAAATACGAAATTAATCCGCAAATATTTTTTGACCACTGCGAAATCACAAATACACGAAAAGGTAAGTTCTTAGCGTTACATCGATGCTGATATCCAAGATATCGTATATATAGCAAAATATATATTCTATGTATATCGAAGTGAAAGGAAATATGCAGCTAAATCTTGAAAGTGTTCCCTGAAACAGTCTTCGAATAATTCAGTAATTCTTTCTTGTTTGAGGAACCCGACCATATTGTTGATTTAAACAGCTTAATTTTTATAAAAAACAAAAGCATTTCAAATTTTGCACGGTACGGAAAAGATGTATGCACAAATTGTTGTCCTCAATTATACATGCTTGGGGGAATCATCTCTCGAGAAAAATTCTTTCCGTGGAAGTAAAATTTTGCGCTGTTTTGACATTTATTTGATGTCAGCTACTTCAAAAACCTCCAAATCGCCGCATCGTCATACAAAGTACAAACAATGACGTGTTTATATATTATATCATTGCTTTTGCAAAATTTACTGTCGATGGCTCTTCGGCTGTACGCATGTGCAAGACTTATCAAGTTTATGAAGTTGATGATTTTTCTCGTCTATATCCAAAATATATTTAATTTTAAGAAGCTCCAGAATTAAAATCGCCCGCTCCAGGCATGCATTAATCTTTCATATTCCTTTGTCAAGGCCCTTGTAGAATAGAAAGTTAAAAACATATATATATTTTTAAAAGAAGAAAATGTTCGTACGTTTGAAATCGGTTTAGATTTGGATATAGTTCCTTGGAATATGTTTGGAACAAAAATAAATTTCCAAATTTTTATTGATATCGGTTCAGATTTGGATATAGCTCCCCTATATATTATCGGCCGATTCCAATAAAATTTGGAATGTGTGACGAAATTTGGTACAAAAATAAATTTGCCAAATTATATTGAAATTAGTCCAGACATAGCTCCCATATATATTTTCGGCAAATTTCGTGTATTAATTTCACCAAACACGTTATGTATCCCCAAATTCAGTGAAATTTGGAACATGTGATGAAACTTGGTACAAAAATGTGTTTGGCAAATTATATTGATATCGGTCCATATTTGGATGTATATCCCATACATATTTTCGGCCGATTTCACACATTTTATGCATGAAACGCGATATGTATGTCCGATTCCAATGAAATTAGGAATGAGTGACGGGATTTGGCACAAAAAAAAAAAAAGAATTGTAAAATTATATTGAAATCGGCTCAGATTTCAATATTTTATTAAGAAACCAAGATCCACAAAATATTTGCAATAGTATTAGGCAATAGTAGAAAAAAACTACGCAGACCGCCTATGGGAAATTCAACACACCCCGCAAGTTTCAAGTTTATTTTTTCCATCCGATCTCTACACATAGTTATTTAATAACTTATTATCTAACAATAGTTCTTAAGTCTATGGCTTAAAATTACTTAGCATAATTCTGTTTTTTCTAAGTTTATCTAATTAATACAACAAGGGGGGTCACATAGCTAATGTTACCTAACATTAATTCAATTAATCAATAAACATAAATGCAAAATAACTTTACATTAATAATTCCCCTAAAAAAAGATGTTTAAAAAAAGAGGACTCTAACAGTTTTATAATTTTTGTTTCTTACATAATAATCTAATTTACATGCTACTATATACAATATATACAATTAAAGGGCGTTACACCAGTTACTGGGCTATTTGGTAGACAGTGTCGTCAATGTCTAGCGAGCCGAACCTGCGATGATAGAAGAGGAGTGTGTCCTCTCTATATAGAAGACCTTCTTCATCTAGTGTAACTAAGCTACTCGGCGGCCTATAATTGGCCCGAATTAGCCTTTGTACATCAGTGTCGTGTAAAAGGCTTTCCCTAACTAAACTATTATCTAACGAAGTTGCCCGATCTAGGAATTTGAGGGCACTAGTCATTAGAAACTTATCTATGCGGGTGAAGTCTATGGAACTATATACTACCCTGTTGGGCGGTTCTGCCGATGGCACGTTGATAGGTCCAAAATATGAATTTGACTTTTCTAAGTATAAAGTCAATATGTCTTACAAATTCAAATTTGCTATGAAAAATAACTCCCAAGTATTTGACTTGGTCTGAATTTTTAATGGCTTCCCCTCCAATTGCAAGTGAAGGTTCGTACTGTCAGGCGCTACGGTACAGGTATTTCTTCTTGCCTTTGAAGGTTATAGCCTCACACTTATCGACATTTAAATGCATTTTCCAGGTTTGGAAGTATTCAGAGAGTTGCTCTAAATATGCATTCAGTCTGTTATTAGTATTCCCAGCGTGGGCTCCCGTAGCAGCGACAAATATGTCATCCGCATAAATCAGGAGTAAATGCCTATCAGGCGCACGTGGTATATCACTAATAAATATGTTGAAGAGAATGGGTCCAAGGAGTGAGCCCTGTGGTACCCCGGCAGTTACTGCCCTTTCTGACGAAAGGTCATCCTCAACTTTTACCTTAAAACTTCTATTTGCTAAAAAGCTAGCTACCATTCTACCATTTTATATATAATGGCATTTTGCCATACGTTGTCGAACGCTCTGGCAAAATCTAAACTAACAGCGATAGTTATGTGTCTGTTATTTAGAGCTTTAGTCACATAGTCCCCTAAGACCATCAGGGCATGTGAAGTTGAATGACCCTGCCTGAAGCCAAATTGACTATCAGATAGGATTGCTCCTTCTTCTAACTTCTCTCTTATATCAGAGAGTAAAAAATACTCAAAAAGCTTCCCGAACGCTGAGAGTAAGCTAATTGGTCTATAACTACTGCATAATGTCGAGTCCTTGCCAGGTTTTAGGATGGGAATTGTAATTGCCCTTTTCCATGAAACCGGGAAATAGCCCAGATTTATACAGTGGTTGAAGATAATCGCTATATGTTTCCAGGCAGCGCCATCGGTCCTCCTTAACACAATGTCAGGGATTCCATCAGGTCCTGCGGATTTGCGATTAGATCTTCTTTTCAACCCTGCTCCGATATTGGGAGCTTTTAGGAATTTATTACTACGCCATGTATTTTCCTCACTTATTATGGAACCATCTGCAGTTAAGTTATCTGCAAATGTCACCAGTGGTGAGTTATCATTATAAATTGATACATCACTTCTAATAGCATTGCTGAAAGGAGTGGTATCGACGGCATCAGATTGTCCTTGAACAACATCCGCTAACATGTTAGCCTTTTGGCTAGACATGACTGCCGTGGTCCCATCGCTGCCGACGAGTTCTGGGATTTTGGCATGGCGGCTAATACCTGCTGCAGCCTTAACTTTACCGTACATACGCTCATTCACCTGGATTCCATTGAGGAATTGGACCCACTGAACTGTTTCGTATTCCGCAATTGCTCCTTGGATAATTCTATCCGCATTGCGAATTTCTGCCTTGAGAGTTATATACCTCTCAGGGTTTAGGGTACGGTATAATCTTCTCCGTAGAACTTTCTTTTGCCGGATAAGGTCTAGTATTTCTGGCGAAAGTCTCTATTCCCAGAATATGTTCTAGGAATGGTGGACTCCATGGCATTTCGGAAAACCTCACTCGTGGCATGGTGGACTCCATGGCATTTCGGAAAACCTCACTGAGTGACATTCCGATCTATAGGAAGTTGGCAGTTGGGAAGCTCTTCCGCCAATATCCTGTTGAATTGTCGTTTGTCCATTCTTCTATAGTTGAAGAAAGTCCGTCTAGGTCTACGTTCCGGTTCGTCCCCGTATACCGTCATTTTCAGCTCTCTGTGATCGGAATTACAGTCTACTGTTGTAATCCCTCGCCCCCCATTGTCATCAACATGGGTACCAGACGAAGCCAGACAGATGTCGATAAAGGATTGTGATCCAAAAGCGACCCTGGTCGGTCCTTCTGTGGGTATTACATTTAAATCTGGACAGCCGATTAGGAAATCAAAGACTATCCGTCCTCTTGTACATGTTTGGTCACCCCCCAGCTAGTGTGTCTAGCATTGAGGTCTGCCCCTACTATAACTTCCCCAGATCTAGCTAAGTTCCCAAGTGGTTCTAAGCTATTTATATTGAAAATCTCAGATGGCCTACAGTACATAGCCACTGCGTACAGTGGTGACCCGCCGGCCCTATAGATTCTAACACAAGTACACTCGATGGGTCCCAAATCAAGCGGTACTTTTTCACATCTTATGTTTTCCCTTACTAGTATAGCGGTACCCCCACCCCTCAAATCACTCCTATACTGTAAGAAACTAACATATCCTCCTATCTCAAATCTGTGGTTTTGAGATAGTTTGTGTTCTGCCAACAACATGACCTCCGGCTGATTCTCATTGAGAAATAGACGGAGGTAGTGCCTCTTATGTCTCGATACAACAGAGTTAATGTTGGCAATTATAAATGTAGAAGACCTAACCATTTATACCTAGCATGCCTACCAAGGAGACCATGGCTTTAGCCTGGCTTGCCTTGTCCTTACTTTTTAGTTCTTCCGAAAATTGACGAACTTGCATGACAGATGTCAAGAAATCTTTACCGAAGATTTCATTACAAAGTTCGTCAAAAAGCGTGAAGCCACTAACTACTTGGCCTAGCGATTGCTCGCCCAATCAACACACCCCGCAAACAATCATAGTTTTGTATGTAAAATTCACCATCGATCGGCAAACTCACCACCAGAACTGCTCGCTTCTTTGCAACAACAAAAAGTAACAGTTTAGCTTTCAACGAGTAGGAGATCATATTGTTTGATATCATGATTCATGATTTTCCATTTCGCAAAGAATTAGCAAACAAAATGTTTACGAGAGAGGGAGAGTTACACTTTCTGGTGGTGAGTTTACTGACCGATGGTGAATGTTATACACAAAACCAAGATTGTGTGAAAAGTGTGATGAAATGCCGATGGGCAATGAGCGCTGCTCTACGAGCAACAGAATTTCCGTTGGACTTTAAAGGAATGCCGTTTCCTGTGCGCTTGGCATTTGCTATAACAACTAACAAATCCCAAGCACAAACTCTTCTTGTATGTGGACTAAATCTGGCATGTTCCTGCTTTTCTCATGCTGTACCTGACATGTCGGCCTACGCGTTTGTAGACCAAACAAATCGCTGGTGAAGGAAAAACAGAAAAATCACTGTATCTAAAGCATTAGAAACTACGTGCTTTTACATTTTAGAATTAGTTTTATTTTCATTTAAAAACCACAAAATATTCGTATATAAAACTTTGAATGAATATAAAGGGGTAGCGAAAGGAATAGCGATGTGCACCGGGTTCAACTAATAAAGTATATATGTAATAACAACTATTGGTTTTTCTAATTTGATATTGATATTATAATTATTTTCAACCTTTGACACATTGATTATTGCATTTCTATTTTCCGCCATAGTATGGAGGGTATATTAAGTTTGTCATTCCGTTTGTAACAGCTCGAAATGTACATTTTAGACCCCACAAAGTACAGACCGATAGACGGAGGGACATTGCTAAATGGACATAGAATTTTATGCCGATCAAGAATATAAAGATCAGCATAAAATTCTATATCGATTTAGCAATGTCCGTCCGTCTATCGGTCTATTCGTCTGTTGATAAAATTTTACTCAAATGTGTATTATCTCTGCAGGACTTTTAATAATGAAAATGGGTGATGTAGGTCCACGTTTTGGTATAGCCCCCATATAATGGTACCTCCCTTTTTCGGTATTTTGATGATTTTAGCGACATTATTCACCGGAATTGTTTTAAATTTGTTATTTTAAGTTCATAATGGATGCTACAGCCTAAGATGGAAAATTGTCTGTGCAGGTCCACGTCTTCGTATAGACCCCATATAACGGTACCTCCCGATATTCGACATTTTGATGGTTTTAGCGATATTATTCACCAGAAGTGTTTCAAATTTGGTATTTAAAGTTCGTAGCGGATCATGCCTATGATAGAAAATTGTCTATGCAGGTCCACGTCTTCGTATAGCCCCAACATAACGGTACCTCTCTATATTCACCGAATTTTTTATTCAAGTTTCGCATCCACGTCGTCGCATAGACCCTAATATAACGGCTACACTCAGTCTTTTTAAGATGTTAAAAGAATTTTTAACGGATTTTATTTTCGTTGAAAATCTCCAAAATCGTTCCAAATGGTGGAGGGTATTCAAAGATCGGCCCGGCCGAACTTACTGCTTTCTTACTTGTTTTCTAATAGGAATTTATGCATTTAGAATTAAATTAACAAAAATATTTACGAATTAAAAATAGAAATGTCAGTATGCTTATATTAAATACAATATTCTTTTTTCTTACAGAAAACTCGAGCTCGGCTAGCAAAATATATCAAATTTATGGTTATTAACCCTAGCCGTGTGCTGATCAAACAGGGAGATATGCCCCAAATGGTATATTTTATACTAACTGGCGAAGTGGAAGTAAGCAAAAAGACCTTTAATCCGGTAAGTTTTATACGACAAAAACAATAATTTCGTAGAAGCTATGTTCCTATTACTGTACAATTCTAAATACAATGTGAAGCCCTGTTACTCAGTTTATTACTTAAAGAAATTGTTTACAAAAACACTTCAGAGAATAAGTTTCCAATACATGATCTTGAAAAAATTACTGCATAAAAATGAGGCCAACATTTCGATGTTTGAGAAATATTCTTTTTATACCCTCCACCATACTATGGAGGGTATATTAACTTTGTCATTTCGTTTGTAACTCCTAACTAAAGTATTCATGTCAGACCTAAGAAAGTATATATATTCTTGATCAGCGTAAAATTCTAAGTCGATTTAGCGATGTCCATCTGTCTGTCTGTCCGTCTGTCTGTTGTAATCACGCTATCTGTCCAACGAATTGAGATAGAAGGCTAAAATTTTGCACAAATGTTTATTTTTCCAGTAGGCAGGTTAAGTTCGTAAATGGGCCATGTACGTTTTCATATAGCCCCCATATAACGGTACCTCCCGATATTTGGTATTTTGATGCTTTTAGCGACATTATTTCCCGGAATTGTTTAAAATTTGGTACTTGAAGTTCGTAATGGATACTACAATCTAAGACAGAAAATTGTCTGTGCAGATCCAAGTCTTCGTATAGACCCCATATAACGGTACCTCCCTATATTCGGTATTTTTATGATTTTAGCGTCATTATGCACCCGAATTGTTTCAAATTACGTATTTAGAGTTCGTGGTGGGAACTTCAGTGTGTGACAGAAAATTGTCTATGCAGGTCCAGGTCTTCGTATAGGCCCCATATACCAGTACCTCCCCATATTCGGTATTTTCACGAGTTTGTTTGAAATGTCATATTTGAAGTTGGTAATGGATGCTACAGCCTATGACAGAAAATTGTCTATGCGGGTCCAGGTCTTCGCACAGCTCCGATATAACGGTACCTCCCTATATAGGATATTTTGATGATATTAGCTACATTATTCACAGTTTACTTAAAGTTTTAAATTTGAATTTGGTAATGACTTATGACAAACAATGCCTATGTAGGTCCACGTCGTATAGACACCAATATAACGGCTATATTCGGTATTTTAAAAATTTTGACAGAATTTTTTAAGGATTTTATTTTCAAATTCTTTTCAAATGGTGGAGGGTATTCAACGTTCGGCCCGGCCGAACTTACTGCCTTTTAACTTGTTTTTTATTTGCCTTAGTAAGGCGAATATCATATGTCTACGATTTAATTGTTAATTTATCTTTCGAGACGAGCTCGTCCTAAACTAAGTCTGATGAACAAGCGAAGGAACAAAGCTTTAAATGAAAACATGTGGCAAAAAAGTGGCTTGCTATTTGTTTCATTTTACATAAGATAAATAAACTTCTTGATTTATGTCCTCAATCGACAAAAATAAACAAATGCATATTTAATTTATATGTTTCTGATATGTAGATAACAAACACCTGGAGCAACCTCATAGTTCGGATAAGTGGGCCCGGTGAATGTATTGGAGATATAGAAATGCTTGAAAATTGCCCTCGCTTGAATACATATACAACAGGAAGTAAGTATCTCCACCTTAATATTATACGTTGTAAGTTCAAAAATATGACTAATACCGTCAAAGCTCCTTTAATCTGACGGTGCAGCGATATGGGTGTTTTACATCTACTAACCAAAAATGCATCAAATTAAATTCGTGTGGATCTATGTAGAGTGAATTTCCACGTACTGCTAAATTGGCATAGAAACTTATGCTGATAAAGAATATATATTATAATCTTATAATGGAATTGTCTAAACCATATAAGTTTCAGTCTTATTCCAATCAATCTATCAAATTGCCGACTATCAAATCATTTTTTTCTTGTTTTGAGCCCATTTAGACGATTAGAAATCATGCTGCAAGTTTTTAGTTTTGTCCACCTCATGATAGAAGACAGTTCAACTTAACTAGTCTTTTATGACTTCAACCATAAGATGGGAGTAAATTATTTTGCTATCGGTTTGTCATACCTCAAAATATTCTTTGAGGACAAACAGAGTAAAATTCTACGTCGATTAAACTATATCCATCTATCTATCCGCATGTCCCTTGATATTAAAAAAGAGGTTCCAATCTTTAAATATGTCTTTGAGTGTAGCAAAAACGAATAAATAATTCATTTACCCATTTAGGTATAGCACTTAAATAATGCGAATGAATAATCCGCAATAATATCTTTTCCGATCATAATTACATGCATTTATTTACTGAGGTGGCCAGAAATAACTTCCACGACCATTTCCAAGTGTCCAACAGAATTTTTTCAAGAAAACTGTTGAGAAAGCTTTAAAAAGATTACCTGACTACGTCGGTGTATATTTTTATACCCTCCACCATACTATGGAGGGTATATTAACTTTGTCATTCCGTTTGTAACTCCCCGAAATACTCATGTCAGACCCAACAAAGTATATATATTCATAATCAGCATAAAATTCTAAGTCGATTTAACGATGTCCGTCTGTCTGTCTGTCTGTCTGTCTGTTGAAATCACGATACAGCCCACATTGTTTGACGTAGAGCGCCAAAATTTAGCAGAGCTATTTGCATTGTGTCTAGGATGGTTGGTATTGAAAATGAGATATATCGGTCCACGTTCTGGTATAGTCCCCATATAACGGTACCTCCCGATATTCGGTATTTTGATGATTTATGCCACATTTTTTCACGGATTTGTCTGGAAATTTGTATTTGTAGGTCATAATGGGTCCCTGAGCGTGTGGCAAAACATTGCATGTGTAGGTCCACGTTGTGGTAGCCCCCATATAACGGTACCACCCGATATTCGGTAATTTGATGATTTTTGCCACGTTTTTCCACGGATTTGTCTGAAAATTAGTATTTGTTGGTCATAATGGGTTCCAGCTTCGGTGGTGAAACATTGCATGCATGGGTCCATGATTTGATATAGCCCCCATATAACGGTACCTCCCGATATTCGGTATTTTGATGGTTTTTGCCACATTTTTTCAATGATTTGTCTAAAAATTGGTATTTGTGGGTCACAATGGGTCCTAGTTCGTGTGGCGAAACATTGCAATTATAGGTCCACGTTTAGGTGCAGCCCCCATATAACGGTACCTCCCGATATTCGGCATTTTAATGGTTTTTGCCACATTTCTTCTAATGTTTCTTTTACCCTAAGGTGAGTAAAGTTTGACCGGTATTAAAAGTTTGGCCGGCCGAACTTAATGTTTTTTTACTTGTTTTTTCAGTAGGCAGGTTAAGTTCGTAAAGGTACTTCCGGATATTCGGTATTTTGATGATTTTAGCGACATTATTAACCGCAATTGTTTAAAATTTGATATTTGATGTTCCAAAAGGATAGTACAGCCTAAGACAGAAAAATTACTGTGCAGGTCCACGTCTTCGTATAGCCCCCATATAACGGTACCTCCCGATATACGATATTTTGATGATTTTAGCGACATTATTCACCGGAATTGTTTCAAATTTGGTATTTAAAGTTGGTAATGGATACTACAGCCTAAGACATAAAATTGTCTGCGCAGGTCCACGTCTTCGTATAACCCCCATATAACTCTACCTCCCTATATTCACTATTTTGATGATATTATATATATTCTATATATTCGATATTTTTAAAATTTAAACAGAATTTTTTAAGGATTTTATTTTTTGAAAATTTCCAAATTCATTCCAAATGGTGGAGGGTATTCAAAGTTTGACCCGGCCGAACTTACTGTTTTTTAACTTGTTCCTTTTAAGTATAGCCTCCCAATTATGGGTGCCTGCAGATTTTAAGTATTTTGATGCATTGAGAAACATTTTCCAATCATATAATTATTTTAGAGTTTCAGGTTTTTACGAAAATAGAAGAAAGTGAATAAGCAAACGTAAAATAAAAGCGGTTTCAATAGTTGGACCATGGTACCAAATATTTTGAAAGTATTCTCAGATATTACTACGTGGGGTCAATCGAAAAAAGGTTTAAAAACATAAACCCCGAAAATACAAAATTAAAAAGTTGGCGAATTCTATTAATTGAAGGATATCTTTAAAACTATGACTAAAAATCTAAGACTGCAAACTAAGGACAACCACTGTTGTAGCGTCGATAGAAAAAAAGGAGTTTCATAATAACCTTTCCTTGAACAGCATAGATAAGGCACCAGGAATCAGGTGCCTGAGTCTTCTCAAACCTTCTGTGTTCAGATTGCAACAATGGGCGTCCTCGACAGCAATGACAAGTCCGTCAGATCCGTTCAAAAATAGCAGTACCTGATATAGGACCCTGTCAAGAACTACGTTTTTTAACTACGGATATCTCTTGTGGCATGAGAAATAATACTGCGATTTTCTTCAAATTTCGTCCATCTCCATATTTGTACCAACATTAGATCTGGTGTGAATGTGGGATATAAGACCCCGCCAAATACTACAGTTTTTTTAATTGCGCATACAGGGTGAGATAAGAAACTGCAACAAAGTCAAATGCCATAATTTTTACATTTTTTTTAATTTTATTGAATGAATGCAAAAATGTCGGAAATAGCATCAAATTTTAGAATAAGTTCAAGTATAGAATTGTTTAAACTGGTCACCTTTGGCACGAATTTTGGCCATCAAACAACCAATGAAACCGTCACACGCTGCCCGAATGTTGCTCTGCGGTATTTTGGACCACTCCCGGCGAAGCGTTTGCTTGAAGTGATCGACACTTGGTATTTTTTAGTAACAACCTTGCTTTCCAAAATACTCCAGGCAAAATAATTCAACGGATTGGTATCCGGAGATGGTGGCCATTGTGCGCTGGAAATGATTCGAGGAACCTCATTTTCTAACCATTCTTGGGTGGCGCGTGCTGAGTGCGATGGTGCTGAGTCCTGTTGGAATGTCCATGGTCTGCGGCCACAATGTTTGCGTGCCCAAGGCTTTAATACACCCTCCAGAATATTTTTGCGATGATATTCGGCATTTTTCTGATGCCACGGTCGATTAATACGAGCGGAGAGCGACCATCGGCTTGGCGCTTGAGTTCTGGTGGCCAACCGAATTTTTAACTGATCTCTTTGGCAAGTAAACGATCATTTTCTTTGTTTACAAACTGCTGGACAACGAATGTTTTTTCATCGGAGAAAATCAAATTCTCTTTTGGGTCTATTTTCTTTAAGCTGTGGTGTAAGTTCTTGCACTTTTTGGAATCTCAATGGCTTTACCCCGAGCTCATTTTTCAATATTTGCCGAGTGGAATAAAGCGATATTTTCAGCTCACAACCCATTTTTCGGCCGTTTCTGCTGATGTTGCTGTTTTCTTCCATCCACTTGCTTGACGTCGGGTTACGCAACGAATATCACGGTAACAAGCGATGGTACGAGACACAAGAAATTTGTTCACATTTAAATGCTGGAGTGCTCTAACGATAGCCTTTCCAGCCAAATATAAAGAAATCACACTATCACCCTTGAATTCCATCACGAATATTTTTTTTCTGAAAAATTCTCACCAAAATGCTTTTGTACGCTTGTAAACAATATAATGAGCTGTCACTGCAATAATTTTAACAGCTGTCGGACGAAAGGCTAGAAATAACAACAGTCTGAAGTTGGTTGCAGTTTTGTCATCTCACCCTGTATCTCTATGTCATGAGAAATAATACTGAGATTTTCTTCAAATTTCGTTCATCGTTCATGTATATTCTTGTATTAACCACAGATCTTTTGTGAATGTGTAATAAGTACTTTCGCAAATTGCGAAATACAATCGCACATTCCCAACAATTTGTTTCAGAAATTGTTATAATGGGAAGTGTTGGTCCTTTTTGATACCTCCCCGTTTAAAATTCACGAGAATAATCTTATACATATTTCACATAAAAACGTAGGGGATTACCCGATACACCATTTGCAAGGAATTGCAAATTTTCAAAACAAAAAATACTATTAAATTAAAACAAGTAAAAAATGTAAGTTCGGCATGGCCGAACTTTGAATACCCTCCACCATTTGGAACGAATTTGGCAATTTTCAAAAAACCAATAGCCGTTAAATTTCTGTTAAAATCTAAAAAATACCGGATGTAGCCTTTATATTTGGGTCTATACGACGACGTGGACTTGCATAGGCAACTTTTATCATTAACCATTACAATATTCAAATGCGAAACTTGAAAAAAAAAAATCGGTGAATAATAAAACTAAGATCATCCAATTACCGAATATAGGGAGGTACAATTATATGGGGGATATACAAAAACGTGGACCTGCACAGACAATTTTCTTTCATAGGCTGTAGTATCCAAACGTGGACCATTTTCAATGCCAAAAGTCCTGCAGCTATAATATACATTTGAGTAAAATTTCATCAAATTTTCAAATTTCCATAGACGGCCCGACGGACAGACGGACGGACATCGCTAAATCGACATAGAATTTTATGCTGTTCAAAAATATATACTTTGTGGGGTTTAAAATGTACAATTCGAGGTGTTACAGGTGGAATTACAAACTGAATATGCTACTATGGTGGACGGTATAAAAATACGGAAAAAAGTTAGTTACCTCTATATGCAATTTGTTATTCAAATACAAAACTTTACATAATTCCTGTGAATATTGTCGCTAAAATAATAAAAATACCGAATATAAGGAGGTACCGTACGGGGTACCGATTAGGAACTTCAAATACGAAATTTATAATGACTCCGCTAAACAATGTTGCTAAAATCATAAAAATACCGAATATAGGGAGGTACCGTTATATGGGGGCTATACGAAGACGTGGACCTGTATAAGCAATTTACTCTCATCGGATGTAGTACCCATTAGGAACTTCAATTTAAAAATTTGAAACATTTCTGGTGAAAAGTGTGACACAAATCATCAAAATACCGAATATCTGGAAGTACAGATATAGGGGGCCTATACCAAGACGTGGAACAACATAGCTCGTTTTCAATACCAAAAGTTCTGCAGACCTAACACACATCTATGAAAAATTGTATCAACTTACTTCAGTCGTTCGGAAGCTAGAGTGACTTTCACAGACAGACGGACATCGCTTAATCGATGTGGAATTTAGTCAATTCGATAAGAATATACATACCTTATGAGGTCTAAAAGTTATATTTTGATGTATTACAAACAGAATGACAAATTTTAGTATACCCACCATATTATGGTAGAGGGTATAAAAAGGAAGACACACATATATCACATATAAAACGTGCTTATAGCCTTTTCACACTTAGATCAGAAGCAAACGTACAAAATATAAAAGTGTTACATTAATAAAAATGTATACGACCTGATATTAGTTCCTTCCTGAGAATAACTGAGAATTTTTATATTTGAAGTCGAAATTAGCAATCCTGCTTGAAAATATTTTCAATACCATCTGTTGTCTGTCATTAAATGCACAAGAGTTATGGCTTTGAGTAAATATTTGCATTGACTAACTACCCAACTCTTTACATAATTGAATACTTATAAATGTTTGATCCAACAACGCTCTAGTAAATTGCTTAATGACATTAGCTAATAAACATTGTTATATCGGCAATAAAATGAATTCCACCTTAGCTAAATTTATTTGCGTGTTTCTTTGAAAATGGGACACATCAAAATAAATCAAATCAATATTTGCATACACTTGTGTTCAAAAATATATTACGGATTTGAAAACTATGAACTGTGATTATGGCAAGATGCACAACTCGGATTGTACGTTTTCAACTTTTGATGTACGTCTTTTAGACCCTACAAAGTGGGTGTTTTTTTTTAAGCTATAGAAAAGACAAACAAACAGCAAAGAAATATGTACAAACGAATACATGAACTTTATAGAGTCTTCGACGGATACTTTTAGATGTTGCAAACGGAATGACAAAGTCATGCTACGCTTCATCTCATAATGTAGGGTATAACAAGTAATGAGATCCGACACGATTCAGACAGTGCTTTAGGAATTACAGTTGAACTATTTGTTAACTAGGTTTTAATATTCTATCCAGAACCATAATATGCCACATTAATTACACTGTGCGACATCAAAAATACACACTTGCTCCAATGTTCCAATTCTGGTTTGTGGAAGCCAACAACCACGTCACTTCAAAAATGTATTTTTTTAACGGTATATTTATAAATCCGAGTTTATTTTTTTTAAGATTTGTATCACAGTGTTATCTAATTTTATACATGACTGTACTATCTGACTACGTTTAGGTATGAGGTCGTGTTCAACATGGATTTGTTTGCCGCTTTCATTTGTAGAACATTGATGGTGAAATTTTGAACCACCCATCGAATCGAAGTCACTCAAACTTCGTCCATTATTACATGATGAGTTATGACATGAATCACTGCTACAAGTAGTTTATACCATTCGTCAAAAATTAGCGTAGCGTAGCGTGGTCTGATGTTTTTTTTTTTGTCTTTAAATCTAGCCCTCTAACAGTGATAGGAGATATTTCTTCTATTACTTGCACCACACAATGTACGAATGTATGTCCTTACAATTCTCTGACAATTGTTTCATACAGACGTTTTATTTCCGTTGAATTTTTTCCAAACATTCGAATTGCAATTTCGACAATGACATAGTCAAACATGTTTATTGTTTTACACAGATGTTGTTGAACTATTGGTAGTATTTCACGAGGATTTCGAGCGCATACTGCGTCCCGTTATGGAAAAGGAATGGTTGGAAAAGAGGCACTCCATAGAAGCATTGGACTATTTCCAGTTTTTCACAAAGGACCAGGTTACTTTCCATGGAAATATTGCAATGGTTGTAACACTTTCTATGTTGGCAGGTAATCGATGCATGTAAATTGGGTATCTTGCGACAATTCGAGCCACTGCAAACGATATACTATGAGGACGAGGGACATCTAGGTTATGTTTACTTTGTCCTCAGCGGCGAATGCATGATACTGCAGTGCCTGGAAGTTTTGGTAAGCTTAGATTGAGATGTGTTTTATAAATTAATTAGCTTGGTTCCATATTTTCTTTTAAAAGACTGCACAAAGGATCGGACATACATTTTACAAATTATCAGTTCAGAGGATGAAATGGTAAGTACTTTTAATTCAATATGCATTGTTATAACCTACGGCACGCCGTGGTACAGGGTATTATAAGAATTTTAACTTTTGTTGATTTTCATAACATAAATTATAGGGTAGGTTTATGCTTGTGGGGATTTTAAGACAATTCCATTGAAAAAGTGTGGCTAACATCATCAAAATACCGAATATCGGGGGGTACAGTTATATGGGGGATATACGATATCGTAGACATATATAGACAATTCTTTTTGAGGGGGTAAAATGCCCACAAGGGACTCCTTTTGTGGAATTTCAGACAATTCCATTGAGAAATGTGGATAAAATCATCAAAATACCAAATATCGGGGGTACCGTTATATGGGCGCTATACGATATGGTGGACCTATTTACATAATTCTCTGCCGAGGTATAAAGTACCCACAAGGAACTACTTGTGTGGATTTTCAGACAATTCCATTGAAAAAATTGGCTAAAATCATCAAAATACCGAATATCGGGGGTACCGTTATATGGGGGCTATACGATATCGTGGACCGATATAGGGCATCTTCGAACTTGACCTGCCTGCAGACAAAAGGGAGATTTGTGCAAAATTTTAGCTTCCTATCTTAATTCGTTTAGACTGTAGCGTGATTATAGCAGACGGACGGACAGGGCTAAATCGTCTTAGAATTTTACGCTGATCAAGAATATACATACTTTGTTGGGTCTAAAATGATTATTTCGGTGAGTTACAAACGGAATGACGAACTTAATATACCCTCCATACTTTTTTTGGTGGAGGGTATAAAAATCGACTTTTAAACTGAAATAATTGGCGTAATCGGTTGGAAGATGCATTTGAAGTCTTTACAATATCACAAAGTGAGCGGTACAGTTATATGAGGTCTATTACGAGCCATTTTCGGCCACTGCGACGCAGGTTTCGATCAAGTCGCTTCTTTACTTTCCGAACCATTTCTGCTGATGTTGCTGTTTTCTTCCGTCCACTTCCTTGACATCGGGCTACGCTACCAGTATCATGGTAACGAGCGATGGTACGAGACATAAAACATTTATTTACATTAAAATGCTGGAGTGCTCTAACGATAGCCACTTGTGGGTTTCCAGCCAAATATAAAGAAATCGCACTATCACGCTTGGATTCCGTCACGAATAACATTTCTTCTGGAAAATTCCCACCAAAAAGCTTTTGTACGCTTGTAAACAATGAGCTGTCACTGGAATAATTTTAACATCTGTCAGACGAGTGGTTTGAATTTGGTTGCAGTTTTTTCATTTCCACCTGTTCGACTGTCCATATATTTTTATACCCTCTACCATAGTATGGAGGGTATATTAAGTTTGTCATTCCGTTTGTAACAACTCGAAATATACATTTTATTATTATTTTAGTTTTTAGTATTCTTGATCAGCATAAAATTGTATGTCGATTTAGCGATGTCCGTCCGGCTATCCGTCTGTGGAAATCACTCTAGCTTCCGAAGGAAATGAAGTAGATTGATAAAATGTTACTCAAATGTATATTATGTCTGAAGGACATTGAAAATGGACTATGTAGGTTTACGTTTTGCTATAGCCCTTATATAACGGTACCTCCCGATATTTGGTATTTTGATGATTTTAGCTACATTATTCACAGAAATTGTTTCAAATTTGGTATTTGAAGTTCGTAATGAATACTACAGCCTGTGACAGAAAATTGTCTATGCAGGTCCACGTCTTCTTACAGCCCCTATACAACGGTACCTCCCTATATTTGGTATTTTAATGATTTAAGCGACACATCCTAATAGATACTCCAGTCTATGACAGAAATTGCATATACTGGTCTACGTCTTCATATATTTGGTATTATATATATAACATCCTTAAATATTGTAACATCCTTAAATATTCGTCGTAGACCCCATATATGTATATATATATATATATATATATATATATATATATATATATATATATATATATATATATATATATATATATATATATATATATATATATATATATATATATATATATATGGGGTCTATGACGAATATTTAAGGATTTCTCTGAAAATTGGTAGTTGTAGGTCATAATGGGTCCCACTTCGTGTGGTGATTTTTGACACATTTCTTCGCGGTTTTGTGTAGAAATTGGTATTTGTTGGTCTTAATGGGTTCTAGCTCTTTTGCGAAACACTGCATGTATAGGTCCACGTTTTCGTATAGTCCCATACAGCCGTATTTCCCTATATTCGATATTTTCCCATGAATATGTATCAAAATTGTAATATGTGGGTCATAATGGGCTCTAATGTTTCCTTTACGGCCGAACTTAATGTTTTTTACTTGTTATTATTAGCATGTAGTTTTCAACGCAAATTGTTATGAAAATTTGCAAGTTGCTTTCAATTGGTGGAGAGTATACAGGTTTTTTACTTGCTATAATTCGAACTTCAGCTGTGTGAAAGCGTGCTCTTCAATTTTGTGAACAAAAAATCGTTAAACATAGCTGATGAGGTACCGGCTTCTCCGTACACCACAAGGTCAGGCTATTATGTCTTTGTGCATTTGTTTGTAAAATGGAAAAGGAAGCGAGATAGACCCATAGTTACTTTTGAGGATCTATATAGAACCATTTTCTGAGTTGATTTATGCATGTCAGTCCGTCTGTCTATGTATTCTTGTGAACAAAATGCAGGTCGCATTTATTATCCAATTGAGATAAAATTTCCCAACCACCATTTGTTTGGCCCAAGGACGAACCCTATTGAAATTGGAGATAATCGGTAAAAATTTAGATATATATTATGTGATGTGATATATTAACATTTTCATTTTGACTTTTGAAATGTACAATAGTAATGTTTTATTTTGCTTGATTTTTTTCCATTTTGACTTACTTTTTTTTCTAATGTACATTTGTAGTGTTTTTTATATTTTATTTGTGAATTCGAATATTAATACCAATTTATTTAATTGACTTGATTTCTTGAGAAGTGAAATTGGTGGCGGGTTACATGGAAGTGTAGTACCGAATTATGTGGTGGCGAAACGGAATAGATGATATAGAAATAATTTAACGCGATCACACCAAAGTTAAAAGAAAATTACTTTTTCAAAATCGCTAAAAAATCACGAAAAAGAGATCTCATTGCAAAAATTCTCAAATCGGGCAAATATCGAAAAAAAATTTCAATGGAATTGAATTTGAAATAAAAGTGCATTCTATTGACAAAATTTGTAAGGATCTTTAAACAGTTGCTGTAAAAAATCAGCGAACAAGTTTAAGATTTTTTCAATTTGTTATTCTTCTTTTCTCAATTTTTTTTTTTCAATTGAATTCAGTGGATTTTGTGAACAAAATAAAGAATAATTTTTCACTATATACAATTTTTCACCAAAAAAATGAAATAAGTGCGAAATAGGATGTTAACTGACATCTACCTTTCAACTCCAGGGCCTACATCGTGGTTCAGCTGGAAGATGCGCACACATTGAAGCAAACAAAAATGACCGGAAAAGACTAATAGGGGTCATTTCAAAGCGTGGACCTACTTCTTTCATGTGACAATAATCCGTCCAATGAGAGCTCAGAATGCAAATTTTTTTGGGAGTAGAATCAGTAAAATACTAAATATAAAGCGTGCAAAGTAGTAGAGCGAATGGGACTTTTAGTAAGAAGGGATTTCTATCTTTCCAGAAATTCTTCCCGAACATTCAAGATACCTTAAATCGATTTAAGCTATTTTTGGGGTCTTCGCCACTTTCTTCTATTTTTGGCCCTTATTTAACATCTTTGTTTCTAAGGGGGTAGAAAACCTCTTCGCATAAAATTTTCGGAGTAGGGCCCATTTTGGTTTTAACCACATTCATCAATTGATTTGGCTAAAAAATTGTATTTATGCTACCCTGGGGTAAGGAACTATCATACAGATTATTGCCACAAAAAATTGTATTTATGCTACCCAGGGGTAAGGATCCATCATACAGATAATTGCCACATAGAAGTTTATTTAAGTAAAGTCCCCACATTGGAGTATCCCCAAGTCCACTTTCACATCTAATGTGTGGTCAGAAAAGAAAATTTTGTATTCTATTGAAGAGAATATTGGTTGGGAACGTAGATTTGGGATGTACGTCTATATGAAATAAACTCCGAAATGTCAATATGGGTGCTGTTGAGAATAGAAACACGACCGTTTCGTCTGTGTGTTATTTCAATTCTGATTTTATTTAAGAAATATGTTCCTTACGTACTACTGAAACTAATCTAACTTAACCTAGTCGCAGCCACACAATTGTTCTTATCTATTCTAATATTGAATGGAGAACATTGCAGGGCTGCTTGTAATTTCATTCAAGTGGTCTTGTGCATTTACTGAGCGCATCGATATCTGTGCCTGTGGGTCGTAATCTTTATTATCTCACACATTATCGTATGCGTCAGCGCACAAGATCACTGAATTCTTCATATGTGATATTTTATGGCGGCTGGGAAATATTTAACTTTAGACCATTTATTTTTTATTGCTACATTTTCCCAGCGCCTCAATCACACTCAAAAGTATGTACAAAGTATTTTGTACAGGTGCACCGATTTGAATAATTTTTTGTACAAACATTCGTCATACCCCGAGTTAGGTTTTTAAAGAAAAAAATATTGACCACGCCTACTTTTACGCCCACTATTTTTATTTATCTAAAATCCTTATATTTGCCAAATTAATGAAGATATCGGTTTGAGAATTATTACACGAGATACTGTTGGCTTTCCATCCAACCGTAAGTATTTATTTAGGGGCTGAGGAACGCGCCTACTTTTAAATCTGTCTCTCTATACGTAAAAGAAAGTTATGTAAGTTACTACGCTTATAACATAAAGACCGTTGGTCTGATTTTAACGATTCAGACAAATTCGGAATTGCCTCTTGGCAAAAAAGCATAAAATTCAAAAAAATCGCGTAAAAATGTGAGATTTTGAACATTTTCATTTTGACTTTTAAAATGTACAATAGT